AAGTTCCTCAATTGTTCTCGGTTTTCGGGAATAAACCGTTTGCTTCAGATAACCCCACAGAAAGAAATCCAAGGAGGACAGATCAGGTGACCTTGGAGGCCATTCCTTTGGTCCTCCTCAGACAATCCATCTGCAGTTGAATTCCGAGTCGAGGTAACTTCTCACCACCAGAGCATTGTGTGGCGGTGCACCGTCATGTTGGAACCATACTGTAGTACCAACTTCAGCTTCTATACGCCTGATGTCAGGCACCACATTNTTCGTGTAACATTTGCAAGTATGGAGCGCCTTGAACAATTTAATAATAAAAATTGTTCTTATCTGTTACGTTTGTTACGGATGAATGTGGTGTATTCAACGTTTTGCAATGTGTGCACCGAAATCCTCAGACGTCCACAAGGCTGCCATACAACACACACAAATGGGGAAAGTCAGGCGGTGGTGGTGGGTTTCGAACGCTCGTCCTCCGGGGTAATAATTGGTAACGTTACCACCGGGCCACCACCGCTCACGCCGTGAGAATTAAAGTACACCGATGGTGTCGTTCGTCTGTTTGGATGTATAGAGGATGCGAAAAATACACTCGACAGACTAACAAGTTCTGTTGCGCCGTCCGAAATGCGTTTTGCACCATCAAAGTGCAAAGTGATGCTACAAGACTGGGTGTCGACTAGTCCTGTTTTGAAACTAGATGAACAGGAATGGGCAAAGTAGATTGGTTTCTCCATTTAGGCAGTTGTGTAACCCACGACGATAGCGCAGCAAAAGAGGTTACTATTCACATTTTCAAAGATATAGCAGATCGTTTTCAGTGCCTCATTTACTAGCCAAATACGGCACACTTTTATAGGTTACAAAATCATATACTTCAAGGAAATAGAACAGGCGTAAGTAATGTCTGTGTTTGTATGCATGTGTGTGTGTGTGTGTGTGCGTGGATAAATTGGATAATACAGTCAGGGGTGTATGTGATAAGTTGCCCTATGTTAAAGATTTTGTAGGGGATAACTTGGTTAGCATATCCAATTCGGATTGGTAGGCTTCGCTGGTTGGGACACGTATTATGCATGACCAGCTGTCGTCTGCTTCACTGGGCTGAAGGAAACCACGTGTAGTTTGTTTGCTAAAGCAAGTATTTGACTACACGGAACCTATTCTGTGCCCACGTTTCTTATCAGTCTACATTTGACCGCACAGTCTCGTCGTGATCATCCTTGACCTTGTTCCAACCACACAAGCACGTGCCAGACTGTCGACAGCGATCCAGTCGGGATGAATCTTCGCTTCTATCATTTTCTTCAATACGCAAATAATGTGACAAATTCTAACGTGGCAAGTTGATGCATCAGCATCAGATGAGTAGTGTACATTTGCTTTGCGGTAAAGCATACAAAAGTAACCTTCTTAGTCAGTACCAAGTACTTTTGCACACACACACACACACACAACTCTTCAAGTATTTAGCCCTAATGGGAAATGATAACCAGAAAGCCACTGCTGTCGGTTTGCAGCCATCCTGCGTTAATGAACAGTCAAGTAAGACTTCAGCTCTACAATTCGGTACAAAAACCATCCTGCTTTGACCAACAAAACGGGCTTCGTTGTCGCCCGATACGCACGTAAAAACATTCTGACTCCACGTCGCCGATACGTAAGAAGACAACAACTCATCAAGAGTTCATTGCATTTGCACCATACAAGCCCGTTGACCTACCGGTATGAGAATGCTCAGACAGAAAGACCCCAGATTCCAAGGTTGACGAAACCTCAGAGTCTGGAATTTATTCACTCCTCATCACCTACAATTTGGCTTTTTGAAAACAAGTTGTCTGAACGAATGTTATGGGTTTGAACAGAAGGAACAGTAGACGGTTGGGTGTGGAAGACAAAGAACTAAACAAAGGTGGAGATATCTGAGCAGTAGCCCACTCGTCTCTACCCATTCCAATCGAAGCAATGGGCACTGCGGTTCCGATTATCCTATGCGACCATCCATGCAGTGTGGCATTCTATACAGTTTGTGTATGCATTGGAGTTTGATGGTCAGGTAAGGCTATGCTGTCCAGCTACTGAATAGGTGAACAACTAGGGTTTTCAACCAAGGCCGTTAGTTCTTTCAAGAACCTAAGTGCAAGGCAGCTGGTAAAGTGACGTGGAAGCCCATTTACCTGAGTCGACTACTTCTCCATCCTTTAGTCTATCTAGACACCAATTCGAGTCGAACCCCGAACCCAGAGGCTGATGTTTCTCTGTCCCTTCAGGTATCATTAAACCCGTGCACCTTTTTGTCAGGTCACAGGCAGCAATAGGATAATAGGCTCCTGGTATTTTCACAATCTACCAATCCGACTGTGTTAATGGACGGCATTTGGAGGTATTTTCCCCTGCTCTGTTTTTCTTTTTATTGAAAACACAACGATACAATTTTTGGGAAGGGAGAAGCGGCCAATCAAAGGGCTGCCATACAACACAATCGGGAAAGTCAGGTGATGGTGCTGGTGAAATTGGAACACACTTCCCCCGGGATGATAATTTGGTGACGTTTCCACCGGGCCACCACCGCCCATGCATTTTTCGGTAACACAGTCCCCAGTAGAACCAGTTCAGGTGCATCCCGCTGCTAAGTCCAACTTGCATTCAATTGATTTCTACGATTGTTCTGTCAAGTGTTATCTACAGTTGATCAGTATAGGGTTTTCTCACTGAACAATAAGCTCTTGGCATTATTTTATTTTCATGATTGAACTCCATTTTTGTCTAAGTAAGAAACAAATAGCAATTATCAATAACTGGTTGATCTCTTCGTGTGCAGAACGAATACCAATTTCATGTAAAACATCCGCCTGACGGTGTCATTCGTTCTCAACGTTCTCTTATTGAAAGACCGTTTTTCCTCTTAGAATTCTTTTCATAATTGACACAAAGCATTGGTGGTAAACGAATCATCTATCCCCCCCCCCCACGGTCCCCCCTCCTCTCCAGGCCGATGATGCGCATTACATTCCCCGAGCAGTTCTACTGGACTTAGAACCGCGTGTGATTAACACGATTCTCAGCTCGCCGTACGCTCGCTTATATAATCGCGAAAATGTCTACTTGTCCAAAGACGGCGGAGGAGCCGGGAATATTTGGGCTGCCGGTTACACGCAAGGAGAACGGTTAGAGGAAGAAATATTCGATATCATTGAGCGCGAGGCAGAGGGTAGTGATAGCTTGGAGGTAAGTGGATTTTCCCGACTCTGTTTTCCGTTCGATAGTTGTTCCATGTGACCGTTCTTTTTGTTCCGGAACATAAAGTCCGTTATTTCGTTTTTTCTCCATTGAAATGCGTTCACTTTGAGTGCATACAACCGTTAGCCTTGCATTTGCGATCGGTGGTCTTGGTTGTGTCCTCTTTTGGTTACCCATTTTGATGAAGAATTAGAGGAAAGATTGAAATCTTGAAAACAGTATCTATGTGAAGATAGAAAATTTCGATGAACTAAAATTGCAAGGAATGATTGGTTGGATGGGCTGAGGATTGGGCGTGAAGATCGAGCCTGAAGGATGATCAGTCTAGATCAGTATTACCTATCTCACGTATTGTATTAGTATTTCACACTCGTCTGAATCCAGACTATGTGCCAAACTAATCATAGTACAATAATGTTCACAAAAAAGAGAAAGTTTCATGATTTGCGTGTGGGCAGAATACCGCCAGGTTGCCCAGGAATTCACAACCGGAACCTTCGGTTAGCCAAAGCCTGACTCGCAAGGCAGCGGGGCTGTGTAAAATCCGCCATCCACTTATGTTTAGGCATCAGTGGATGAAAAAACATGTTGAAGTAGTTATGACGAGCAACATTAAAGCAACATTCTACCCAACCATAGTTTCTCTGTAGTTAAGGTATTGATTCTCCCATACATTGAATGCGTTGGTCAGTATTCTTTTTGTTCCCTCTTGTCGCAGTGTCGCAAATCAGTGTTCACTTCACTCCTCTCTCTCTCTCTACAGGGATTCGTCATGACGCACTCAATTGCCGGAGGAACCGGGTCTGGAATGGGCTCGTTCATCTTGGAACGTTTGAACTCCCGATTTCCGAAGAAATTGATTCAAACTTATTCCGTTTTTCCCAATGTGGAAGATACAAGTGATGTGGTCGTACAACCTTACAACAGTCTGCTTACCTTGAAACGGTTGACCTTAAACGCGGACTGTGTGGTACGTCGATTGTCGTTTTGTTTCAATCGTATTGAAATGGTATATTCATAGGTTTATTTTTCTTCGCTCTGTAAATGAAATCTCACAGTGTCCTGTAGGCACAAAAGAAGTGATTTGTGATTTCCTATCATGACATTAAAAAGCACCTTCAATCAGAGCCGGGGTTAGCGTACAACGGCTAGGACCAAAGCTGCACTGAACCCCGGAAAACAGTTGGCTGTGCGCTGTCCTACATAGATAGAGTTATTCGCTTACTGAGACAAACTCGCTGTGACAGACCGTTATATCACAAATCGCACAATGTTCCTACGCAAACTACCTCGAACTGATATAATGACTCTAGTTGGAATTATGCATACCTGCATTGGTCAAATCCTGTCCCCAAGAGACAGATTTGAAACAACTTTCATCACGGTCATTCGGACCGTGGAAGCACACTTGAACATTGGTGTTGTGTCCACTATCGGTTTCTCTCGCACAGCAAACTTCGAGTTAGCAAGCACGATTTTTCTTGTCACTGGCACGCATATGACCCGTCTCTATTACCCATCTTTGGTTTTGATCATCAGCAACGGTATCATCCTCGATGTTGTCATACTGCTAACTACAGTACGAAGAGCTTCACTGATGGCTGACGAACTCGCGGCATATGCAATGTCTACGGTGGGTAGTGAGTAGGTCTATTTCGAACAGGATGGAGAAGTAATCAAGTGAACCTGTTTGGTCAACACATCACATAGCCTGTGTGTGTGTGTGTGTGTGTGTGTGTGTGTGTGTGTGTGTGCATGTACACATGCTGCGAAGTGGTGACAAGAACGCCATCGCTGTCGGTCCGTTACCACGTCCTTCATCAGGTACGGAGTTCTTTGGACCCCATTCCGGAATTCAGGAAGCGCCTGGTATACCCAATCTCTCCGTGAATTTCGTCCCATTTTGTCTTTAACTCGTCTGTTCACCTCTGCGCTAGTTGATCCCACGTAAAACGACATCCGTAAGTGGGGCGCGGTTTCGGGCAGCTTCGTTGTCGTTCAGTTCATTATCACATCTGTCTGTTTCTTTATTCCGAGTTCGGTGTATTCTGATTGGTT